GGGCGGGTTTGGCCGTGGGGAGGCTGGCGAGCGCCTGGGCCCCGCTCTGGGAAGGATCCCGGCGCGGGTGGTCTGGGAGGCTCGGCTCTGCCCGGCCGCCGTGCGGCCAGAGCGCTGTCACGCTGCTGCCTCTGGGACGCGTCTGCCAGCAACGCGACGGCTCCCTCTCCAAAACTGCAGAGAAAGCCCCGATAAGCACCTCTCAAAGTGTGCCAGCGCCGTTTTATACCTGCTCTGCTAATCCCAGCTACAGCTCTAATCCCAGCTGCCGCGCTGAGAGCCGCCCGCCAGGCCGGGAGCGGGGCAAGTGTCACCTTAGCATTAAAAGCTATTTTAAGGAAATGGGACCCTTGGTTGCCCTCGCGTGTTGCCTTCAGCGCTTGCCAGGAGGCCGATCATCAACCCGCGTGACGGTTCACTCCTGACCTGCGTGCGGGGAGACGGGAGGCTGTGCCCACACCAGCAACTCCTGCCCCACCGCTGGCAAAGACGTGGGATTTATCTGGAGCAGGAGCCTTCCTTCGTGTCTTCAGGGATACGCGCACGCGTTTGTGAGCGCCGGGTCGGTGCAGAAACATGTTGCATAAACTAAGGCTTTCCCCAAACACTCTCCTCCTTTCTAAGCTTTCGAGCAACAGCAAAATTCCTTCTGAACTACCGAAGCAAACAGCTGACATCCAAAAACTGAGAAATGGGCAGCTCTGAAAGCAAAATCAGTCAGATATGGGAGGGAGGAACTGGTTCCATTTTTGTTGGTACTCTCAAAGCAAGCAAACCACTTGCAAAAGTGTTACATAGAAGTAACTCATTTCTTTCGAGAGCCTGCACCCAAAATGTCATTTCCTCATTAGCTCTGCCTGGGTCCTGCCTCCCTGGGAGCTCCGGCTCCCTGCCTGGGCCTCCCGCTCTCGGTGGGCTCTCCTTCCGTCCCGGGGGCCACCTCCCAAGGGGTTTATAGGTTTGTAAAGGAGATTATCATGTTAATCCACAGACCGCATTGGCTCTTGTGCCAGCTGGGGAGCGTGACAGGCCTGGCTGCGGGAGCCCCCTCGGGGGCTCCCGCAC